TTTGGCGATTTTTAATTCTCATTTGGCTTAGCCAAATGACTTGAAAATTTACAAGCATGTACCTCACGTCATGGAGAACTCACAGAAAAAAATTCAGAAAAAAAATCAAAAAAATAATTATTTTTAGGCCCCGAAATAATTTTTGGCGGGGGCCGAACGCCGTCGGGTTCAGACCCCGTACGGGACCCCGAACGCCCGTACGTACGGAGGTCTGCCCGGGGACCTACGGGCTGGTGATGCTGTATATATATATATATCGCCAAATAGAACTGCCCGGTAAACCGTAGGCAGAGAGGGAGATATATATATATATATATATATGCCTGATGAGTTGGTGAAACTCCGACTAGAACAGTTTGTCACAGCCCCTCGTTTGTTGTCCTCTTCTCCCTCTCTGCCTACGGTTTACCGGGCAGCTCTGTTTGACGATATATGAGTCGGTGAAACTCCGACGAAACAATTTGCCACAGCCCCTCGTTTGTTGTCCTCTTCTCCCTCTCTGCCTACGGTTTACCAGGCAGCTCTGTTTGACTATATATATATATATATATATGCATTTGGGACTTGTCATCTAGGATCCGTTTTTGGTGCTATTGCTTGTTGCCCCCTGCTTTGTTTTGTTGTATTTGGCTGTTCCCTTCCTCTTTTCTTTGCCTCTTTGCCCTTCAGCTGTGTGCAAGTGGGTCGATATGACACACGGGGTTGGGGGCAGCCGCCGCTCAACCTACATCCACGTGGGCAGCCTTGTACGCAAGAGGTTCTGAACAGGGGGAGTTGTAAGAAAGAAGATAAAAAAACGAATTATTTATTTTTTTTCTTGTTTTATTCTGTTTTTTCGCCTTTGCGCTCTGATATTCATGTGACGATATATAGAGGCACAGTGGAGGTGGAGTTCAAAGAAGAATGAGAAATTTAATGGTTTCAATCTGCCCTTGCTTTTTCTTTTTCTTTTTCTTTTTATTTTTGCAATGTGCCCGTTTTTCGTTTTTAGTCTTTGTTTCGCAAAGTGCGCTCTTTTAGTTTGTAGTTATGTGACAATATATATAATAATATGCTACGGTATTCTCCGGTCCGGTCGAGCGGCAGTGGTCGGGGCCGTCACTACGCGGCCATGCTGTGCCTCTAGTGCCAGCGGCGTGTCTGGAGTGTATTTTTTGGCTGTGACAGACCTTTCTTTGTTTCGTGGGTGTTTTGATTGCTTGTGATGGGGTGTGAACCGACAGTCTGTAGAGTTTTCCATCTGGTGTGGGTGAGTGATAATCTGCTTTGACTTCTGCCACAGGTACCTTGAGGGCAGTGGTTGGTGCCCACCTCAGGGTATCAGTTGTTGGGCAGTTGTTGATTCTTAACTACAGCCGGGGTTAAGCCTTAAGGTGGATTATTACTTAGTGTAATCAGTTGGGGGATTCTGCAGACTGTTGAGGGTTCAGCCTCCTGATGAGTCGGTGAAACTCCGACGAAACAGTTTGCCACAGCCCCTCGTTTGTTTTCCTCTTCTCCCTTTCTGCCTACGGTTTACCGGGCAGCTCTGTTTGACTATATATATATAAATATTGAGCTCCGATTCACAGTGTGACTATATATATATATATATGTACTGTAGAGTTTTCCATCTGGTGTGGGTGAGTGATATTTTGGTTAAGGTAGATTAT